TATATATATATATATATATATATATATATATATATATATATATATATATATATATAAAACGCAAAATCCTTTGATCCTTCATCTTTACTGTCTACTACATATCTGACAAAACTGTTTTTATAAAAAAATTTTTTTAAATAAAGCATTAAAAAAATGCCATGATATCCACAATTAATAAAATTTAATGCCAACTAAGGCCTACATTTGCAAAAAAATAATAATTAAATTACTTTTAAAGATTAGGGAAGGGATTTGAAAAGCTTTTTTTTTTTCAGAACCGGTTCTGTTTGTTCCAATTCCATGGCACTGTTTGTAAACTCGCTTACCGATTCCAGGCAACATCAGAGCCTAGCGCTGGGCAGCATGAGTTACGTCACGTTTTTTACACAAGTTACGCACACGGCATTCAGTAAGCAAGTACGATGTGAGCAGGCGAAAGTCTAGAAAAAATCCAGCATGCAGAAACACCTACGCACACAACATGGGTAACATTTTAACGAATGCCGTGTTTTTGATGCTTCTGGACAGACGCTAAAGTTACGACCAGCATGGAAGGAAACTGGTGGTTTAGGTCACTGGCTGAGCTTAATGTGGTTCCTAGTAAATCAGATGCCATTTCTGGAAATGAACCAGTTTCCTACCTTTCTTTGGGGTTATTAAGGGAGCGTGCGTTTCTGGTTAATCCAGACCTTCATTGCTAGCATGTTTAATAAGAATTACGGTAGCTGGAATTCTTACATGATTCTAGCTATTGCAATGGATGCAACGAAACATGCTACCAAGTTGCTCCGCAGCTCAGGGAGCGAGAGAAAGGTTACGCTCGTTTATTTCAGTCAGGGGGAGATGAGTTTATTTCCCATGCCTTCTCCATTAGATCTAGATGACTGTGAGGAGACGGGTAGCCTGGCTGGATCAGAGGCTGCAGCTCCCGTTCACTGCTTTCTGTTTTCACCGAGGCAGGCAGAGATAGAACGTCCCAGGAGAAGGTAGACGAATGTCACAGCGCACTAACTGAGTTCATCGTTTCACAGAATCAATTAGAGAATCAGAATCATGAAAATCTTATAAATTCCCAATCCTATTAAAGATTTTTATGACCCGCAGAAATCATGTTACACCAGAATTCAGATATTATAAATTATGCACTTGAAATAAGAGACTGCCCATAGAAAAAGGCAATATTTAAAATAAGAAAAAACGAAATGCAAAGTTTTTCATTTATATTCTTAATCCAAGAAATGTACATTTTCTGCACACAGTGCAGGAACTTGCGGTTTTCTCAGATTCCATTTATTTATTTTTACGCTTGTTATTATTGATTGTTTGGAAAATTAAACGAAGAAAGAGAAATTTTTAAAAATATGTGGGGGAAAAAATATTTTTTTTTTTTAAGAAAAAGTTGGGGGGTTTTTTTGTTCAAAATTTGAGGAAACGGCAAAAAAGTTTTTCTTCTGTTCATTTTAGGTTCCAGGAGTTCATTTTTTCCAAATTTCCATTTTCAACATTGGAGCAGAATTCCCTCCATCAGCAGCAGCAGATATTAAAAGGTGCTGGGCTCCAGCAGAGGGTTCCTCACCTCGAACAGACGCAGGTCTGCAGGGACCCGCTCCCCCACCGACAGGCACACCGTGTCTCCAGGAACCAGCTCCCGGGCCAGCAGGTGGTCCAGGTGTCCGTCCCTGATGCTGATGATGGAGAGTCTCGCATTCACATCACTTTGGTCTTTGGAAAAACATTTTTATTCTAATAAAAGGAGGGAAGTCTCACCAGTGACATTCTGGAGGCACCAGCTTCCCCAGCTCCTCCAAGGACTTCTCTGATCGGTATTCCTGCAAACGGGACAGAATGAGAGCTAAACTACTTTCACTGCTGGATGCAAGTTGATAAAACTTTAAATTAAGAGTCTAATTAAACACTTTATGATTTAGGGATTTACTTCTAGATGTTCTGAAATTAATGAGAGAAACAGTTATGTTCGTTCTCATTACTGCCACCTGCTGGACTGAAGGTGTAGTGCAGTTTCTCTCAGACTAATTATAGTAGCATCCATTCAAAATGGCCGAATGGCAGCCCACAGTTTAGTATCGTGACAACCCTAATGGCTACTGCTGTATGTTGGGTTATGGGAAAAGAATCCTGGGCTTTAAGCAGAGAAGCTGCTATAGCTGCTCCTGTCTTTATACTTTTAATTAGATAAGCTGTGAAGTTCAGTGCTGTCCTGTTCAGGTTTACTTATGGTCCCATCACATCTTGACCATTTATCCAGCGTATGCCCGACGTTCCAGAAACTCCTGAAACGCTGGCATATGCTGAACTTTCGATGTATTTTTTAAAGTTTATTAAAGTTTGGACGTATAAATAGATTATTCATAACTAGTCCAACAACTCATGACCAACGACAGACTAACTAATGCATAACGCATGGTACAGACTGACTCTGGAGTGGATTTTCACTCCTGTCCCGTCCCACTCCCACAGAAAAAAATGGTGTCCCGTCCCGATCCCGGGCCAGAGTAGAAATATAAATCCTGTCCCGTCCCCCTCCTGGTGAAATTACTCCCACTCCGCTCCCATTCAGAATGACTCCCGCTCCCATTCTTGTTGTCTTCAATCAGATTTCTGCCAATACATTGAATCTGAATTTCTATGAAGGGTCAGTTAAGTTCCTGTTTCTAACTGTAGTAACTGTTGGTCCCTCCATTGTTGTTTTTGAGCGCGGGTGAAAAACTCAGAGTTGAAGCACTGTTGGTTTTAGGGTCGTGTAGTTTTTTTGACTTGCATTATAGTGTAGGCTTCAAGGAAAAAAACTACAAAATGGCGGCGCCAGTACTGGATTTTTTTTCTATTTTATTTTTTGGCATCAATCCTAGTTTTTTTTTTTTGTTACTATTGGTTTGCTCCCGTCTGCTCCTGTTAATGTTTAATCCTGTACCGTCCCAATCACGTGTTCGTTACTAATACTGACTCCAATCCCACGGGAATCCCGAAAAAATGTCTCTAACGCACGGCAGCATAATGCGTTATGAAGCATCAGGTAAAGCTGCTCCTTTCAGGCACGAAGGCGCCCAGTCTGCTTAAAAATATGTCTTTGATCGCGGTATTACCCCGGCCGATGTTTA